AATTTGTGCCAAATTAATTGAAAAATGCACAGAACTAAAAGCTCGTGACTTAGTAGGTCAACACTATAAAAATCCCCAGGGGAAAATTTTCTACAAGATTTCTTCTCCACCACCAAACCAGAATCTCATTTGACTGCTTGCCCCTAGGCTGCTCATTGCCCTTTCAGATATAGTCACTTGCCACATTAAGTCTGATGCCAGATGATATTTCTAATCTGAGGTGTTTTAATGTTCTTCTCCCCAAAAAGGAGGGTTTTATACAAACCGTATTGCTGCTAAGAGACTCAAAGATATCTTTCTTCTTGTATGCCATATACTTGCAAGGTAATGTATTCAGGGTATCATTAAAAGAAGACCTAAATCCATTCTGTAAGTAAAAGATTCCTTATTCTGCTGCTGATATGCCCTGAGTGGGTCCCAGATTGGTTAAGGTGGGAAACACTCAAGTGACCGGTGGTGTGGAGGCTTGGTATTTTCCTCAGCAGCCATGTATTTTCTGTGTACCGTGACCTTAAAAACAATGGGATGCAGTGCCCTAAATCATCGCATGAAATGTTAGGAGGTTGGTGGTGGTGATAAGTGTGAGAATTTACCCAGAGAGACCAATAGAAGGCAAATAGGAAAAGGGGAATAGGTGAGAGGGCTGGAGAAGGTCAGAGATGTAATTGATGACCTTGGGAGAATGAAGCCCTCTGATACATCAAATGACCCAACCCTGGAACTCATTAGCAAGGCCCTGTTGGCAGCCGCACTGAGCCACAAATGTGAACTCAATACTTGTCAAGAGCAAGACCAAGTCAACTCATTGAAGATGCAAGGCAGGCTTGGCACTATGAACTTGGTTCTTACTACAGCCATTTAATTATTTTGTGAGTTCTTATAATTCTCTGAGAAAAATAACTGGCCTCAGAAGTATAGTATCCAACACTTTTTCGGTTGCTATATTTTTATGAACTGCAAGAAACTAATAGTGCTTTACAGAAACTACATAAAGGTGGTGTCAGCACTTTCAGTACAAACTCCCATTTCCCAAGGTGTATGCATTCTGCAGAAATTTGCTTGAGGGTAAAACTTGGCATATGTCTGAGCCCCTGACTGTCCACACCTCATTTCAGAGGTACTTACAAATGAGTCCTTCATATTCTCTATATTTGGCATCTGGAATCTTTAGAAATAAAAAAAAAATGGCCTTAATAGCAGGTGGTTTCTGGATTTAATGTCAGTGCATACAATTTTTAGAAAACTAATAATGTTCAGAAATTCCAAAAGTCCTGGCTTATAGATTCTGGCATGACAATATTGCATGTTAAAGGGAAAAGAAAGGAAATTTAAGATGATGCCAGAAAAATGTTGGTGTTTTCAGAACTTAGACTTCCTTCACCACTTTTTCTACCCCAAATCTTTCACTTGCTCTATTTCATGCAACTACACCCTGGTTTTGTGTTAGAGACCAGGCAAGCACATATAGGCTTTGGGAATGGGGCCTCTTCTCAGATCACTAGAAAGGGAACCAAGAGCCTACCTTTGTTTCTTGAATCTTCACTGAAGGGACTGGGTTAGTGCTATTCAAGACACAAAGAACAGGGAAGAGAGAGGCAAAGCCAAGAAAACACTGCCCTTGGAAGTGATGCCCACATAAAGCTGGAAAACAAAATAAATTCTCAAAACAACAGAGACATGGAAGTCTAAGAATCCAACGCAAGAGCATGGAAGAAAGAGCTACTAAGCAATCGTGGTTCTCAGGAGCAAGGTAGATGAAGATGCTCAGTCATCCTGCAGAGAGGCAGTTGACTGAGCAGATGCTGGGCATGATAGCAGTGGACCTCAACCTCAGGACAGGGCCCAGGAATCTAGATGGAATTCCAGGCTAGAATCAGGTCCAGAGCAGAAGCTGGTGCCTTGCATAGAAGCATGGGACAGTGCTGTCAGCCTTCTTGCCATATGGCTGCCTAAGTGGCTATGAGCTGGGAAGCCCCCACTTTGAGGTCTACCTATACTTTGGGGAAAATCAGGTTAGCTTGTTGGTTAAAAGCATGGTCTTTGTAATCAACAAGTGTAGATTCAAGTCAGGTCCTTTATAGTATTTGGCCTTGAATGAGTTACTTACCTTCTTTGAGCTCTGATTCTTCATTTGCAAATGGCAATAATAGTTCTTATTTATAGTGAGAACATGAGTATACAAAAAATAAAAATAAAAGTGAACTCCTGATAGTTGTAATAAATAGCTATACTTTTTTTAATGCTCAATTTTCTTTTTTTTTAATTTTTATTGTTGGTTGTTCAAAACATTACATAGCTCTTGACATATCATATTTCACACTTTGATTCAAGTGAGTTATGAACTCCCATTTTTACCCCGGATACAGATTGCAGCATCACATCGGTTACAAATCCACTGATTTACATATTGCCATACTAGTGTCTGTTGTATTCTGCTGCCTTTCCTATCCTCTACTATCCCCCCTCCCCTCCCCTCCCCTCCCATCTTCTCTCTCTACCCCATCTTCTGTAATTCATTTCTCCCCCTTGTTTTTTTTCCCTTTCCCCTCACTTCCTCTTGTATGTAATTTTGTAAAACCATGAGGGTCTCCTTCCAATTCCATGCAATTTCCCTTTTCTCTCCCTTTCCCTCCCACCTCTCGTTCCTGTTTAATGTTAATCTTCTTCTCATGCTCTTCCTCCCTACTCTGTTCTTAGTTACTTTCCTTATATCAAAGAAGACATTTGGCATTTGTTTTTTAGGGATTGGCTAGCTTCACTTAGCATAATCTGCTCTAATGCCATCCATTCCCCTGCAAATTCCATGATTTTGTCATTTTTTAATGCAGAGTAATACTCCATTGTGTATAAATGCCACATTTTTTTATCCATTTGTCTATTGAAGGGCATCTAGGTTGGTTCCACAGTCTTGCTATTGTGAATTGTGCTGAATAGCTATACTTTGGATGGCCCATCTTCATGAAAGGAAAAGCGCCTCTAGTGTCCCAGCCTGCTGAGCACTGTGGTTCAGGGGTGGTGGTCCTGATGATATTGGGAGTAATTATTAGGACAAGCAGCCTGGAATACAAACGTTCCAACATCTCACTTCTTGTTTTCTATGAGTCTTTACTTCTGATCCCCCCAAACTGGGTCAGTTTTCATAAAGATCCACTTACTTTTGTGTGAATTTTAATATTGAAGACTCTCAGAATTCTCCCAAATACAACACATAGACATGCTAAATCTGAAGTGTTGCGTATCAACACTTAAATTAAGAAAAAGCACCAAAGTCTAACTGTATGAGTCAGAGACACTGCAGCCCAAGACGACACTCTGCAACCCGATGGGATATGAAGTGATTAAGTGGCACCTCACTAGAGAAAATGGTGTCTGAGTCTTCCTACTACGTATCCATGTGGAGATGGAAGCCTCTCCTTCAATGGGGACTTCATCTTCATAGTACTTCCCAAACCAAGCACCAAACCCTCCTAGAACCTAGAAAAGGTACCCCTTCTTTGTCTTTACCTTGGTTTGGGGAAATTCCCTAAATTCTACTACTCACAGTGAAGGGGTTTATTGTTGTTTACCCACAGTGAAGAGGTTTTGAGAAAAAGGGTGGAGAAATGGGCACATAAGTTTGAATACTAATTGCTAAGCCTTGAGTATGATTGTTTATGAAAGATACTTAAGGATAAGCTATTTATCTAACAGATATCTACTATCATGAAATAAATGTACTAAGCCTTTTGTATATGTTTATTGTTTCACATATCTGGTTATTCTACAGTGTGTTAGCTAAGCATCATTCTAGATTCTAGGGATTTATTAGCAAACATATTTTAATACTCATAGCAACCTCATAAGGAACCTGAAATCCCAAGAGGTTAAGGCAAGAATTCACACTATCTGTTATTGGCAGAGTCAACATCACAAGCCACTGTTCCATAAAGTACCAAAGAAATTGTAGCTATTGAGCTTTTAATACAAAGATTATATAGTAATCAATTTTATTCCCCACTAGGCCTATTACAGTGCTGAGTTAGACCTCTTATTCAGTGCTAGACTTATAAGATGAAACTAAGGAAGTTTCACTCCAAGATTTTAGTGTATACATGAAAATATTCTGGATGACAATGAGATTTTTGGAAGCTGATTCATTGGCTTGGATAAAGCATATTACTGTTTCAGAAATTCAATATGTGATAATTTTTGAGAAATTTTATATGAAAATGTTTGAAGATGAAACATATTTAACAGAATACATCACATATGTGTAGAATCAACTTAATTTGCTGTAGAGAATAGTGGGATCCTTTGGGTGGCAAGACACCCCAAGGGTACTACTGAGTTTTGTCACTGCCTTCAATGAGAATGAAAAACAGAAAGTGGAGGTATTGTCTTCTCTGTGAGACTTCAAGTGGCCATTTGTTGGAATAAAGCCCTCAGGATGGGTGATGTTATGATGGGTAAGGTCCCTTTGGAATGACCCTTGTGGCATGTCAATCACTTGTTCTCACAGTCCAATCAAAGGCCAGAGATTGTGTCAGCTGCAGAATGGTGGATAATTCATGCAAGACATACACAATTACCTTTGTTAGGACACCACTTCAGTTTGTTATAGGTGCTCACTTCTCATTTTATTTCAGTTAACAAATTTTACCTAACTGAAGTCACATAATTCCCCAATTCAAATAAGGGTAATCAAAACTAATTGTTGGCCTCTAATGGCTATTGCTTTTTCTATTATACCTCTAGAGAACGATCTAGGGCAAGTGTACATGTGACAATCACTGCCTATACCAGCTGGCCTTCTTGACTCATTTTGTGAGGGGAATAATTTCATGTTCAATGAAAGGTCGGTTTCAGGCACCTCCCTGGAAATCTACCATACCGATTCCAAATGTTTATCATTTTTCTTACTAAGTCTTTCTCTTAGGTGTCCCCCGGATGGTACCCAAATACCAGTCATCTTTTTATCCTTTCCTGTGAGCTTTCTCTAAACCTCTCTTTCTCTGTCTCAGAATCAAACTGCCAGATGAGAACCTTGGACAGTGGAATTGGAACCTTCCCACTCCCAGAGTCGGGAAATCGCTCGATGGGACGGTACATATGCCCACCAGACTCTCCGGAGGAGACCGACCCCCTCCTGTCTCTCCAGCCAGCTCCTTCCACAGCTTCTTCCATCAGAGCCCAAACCCTAGAACGCGAAGTGCCTTCCTCCGCGGACAGCCAGTGCTCCACAAAGACTGCCATCGTTCATTCCATATCCGACCCCATCATGACAGCCAGGGGCATGCGACCTCAGAGTCGCCTTCCCAAACCAGCTTCCTCAGGTTAATGCCAATTTCCTTTCCAGTGAGAAATTTCCCACCCACAGAAAGGCACTTTCTGACAAAAATAGAGAATTGCCCCCTGGAGACTAGAAAATCAATGACCTGTGCTCTATGTGAAAACCCTGCATGTCCTCCACCAAAAAGTAAAACTGTGTATGAGATATTATCAACACATGGGTATTATGTTAAGGAATGCACACACATAAAAGGAAACAACCATGTAAGCACCAGTATATGAATACATAAATTGATTAAGGAAAAACACCATACAACATACTGGTGAGATTTTTATCCTGTAAAACTTAACTGTGAATATAGGCCAATTTAGACCCAAGACATAAATGTAGCTGAAATGTTGTTTGCCCTCTAACCAGAAACCATATGTCTTCCAATGTATTCCTATCCTGTTCACATATATTTATATGTTGAACTATAAAAGACTTAGTTTGATACATCAGCAATAGATTGTGCATTAACTGCAGAGGAAAGCAGCCAGCCTTCCCATTGAGAAGTACTACTCTTCGTTGCAGTCAATTGAAATAAGCTTTTATGATTAAAGGCAGGACCAGGCTAAGGGTCAAAGTTTTTTCATTGTTCTCTCAAGATTAAAAATATTTATTGCCGGCCTGGGTGACACTAAATAATTTTTAATGTGCATGGCTTGTGTGGCTCTGATGACATGCATAAGCATGTGAAGTAGAACTCTGAATCGAACCCTTTCATTTACAATGAGATGATTAGAAAGGAGCTGCAGGTTGGGATTATACTATGGGTTTCTGAGAAATTAGAAGACTTTTAATTAAACTTCTTTGAAGGAATGTGTTGAGCTATTCCATGGCTGAGTTCTTCCTTCATGCAGTAATACCAACTGCCAGGGACGTTTCATCACAGACTTCTACCCGTTCCAAGCCAAGGCTACGATGTTTAAAGGCTGTAATGCATATTATTTTTGAAATAAGTGCATTGTTAATTAATGACACCGCCTCCAGAGACTCAGGGGCGAAATCTTAGTTATAGATTATGTGCTTTATGCCTGAATAGTCACATGTGTGACCTCAATTCAGCAGCGGGCTGCTGAGTAGACGCCATGATTAAACACTGTCATTATAACAAATTGAATAGAAACCGCAAGCCTTGAATTGCTTCATAAGAAGGGGATAGGAAGGAGATTGTTCTGATCTCGCTGCTAATATTCACTGGCACCAGGTTTCTAAGGTTTGTATCTTAATTAAATTGTCACGAAGAGTTGTAAAAAAGTAGTATATGGTAGAGAGCAAGGTGAACACACACATAGCAGGATATTTTGGGGTCGCCCATCCTAAAGTTTCCTGCCCGTTGCATGACAACTGTGATCCACAGGCAGGGCTGGGCTTTCCAGTGGCTCTTTTCTCAGTGGCCATTTGTTATTCAGGTGAAAAATTAGGGAGTGGCATGCTAGATGGGACAAAAGGAAAATGGGATTAGAGCTGCTTCTGAGCAGTCACTTCCTGTTTAACCAATACATTTGAATTGGTTTTTCTCTTCTCCCCATATTGAAAATGGAAGTAACTGTACCAATCTCACAGTGCTGATGAAAACACAATTACTTTGCTTCTCCTCACAAGCAAAATGCTGTGGAAAGGCTGTCACAGCACGTCCTGCTGATAATCGTTGAGGCTGGAGGATAATAAAAGCGGTTCTCCTTTCTGGCATGACAAAGGAATACACTCGGCAGGTTAATCTGCTGTGATGGGTAATGGTGAAACCTCTTAAAATCATTCTCTGCTAATTACACCCTTGCTACTCAAAGTGTGGTCCATGGACCAGCATCATTGGCATCACCAGGGAGTTCGTCAGAAATGTAGATGCTCAGAATCTACCCTCCACCTACCGAATCAGCACCTGCAATTTAACAAAAACTCCACTAATGGGTGTGCACATTAAATCCATTAAAACTTGAGAAGTACTGTCCTGATAGATCCTCTGAGCAAAGTTTCGTAGACCACATTGTTCAAAATGACCTTAGAAGGTATTCTAAGAAAATAAGAGTTCCCTGCTCAATTACATTTGGGCAAGGCTGCAAATTTGAATCCTTTCTTTGAAAGCTGTGACAATACCCATTAGTACAGTGAAGGCTCTGAAAAGTTCTCCAAAAAAAAAAAAAAAAAAAAAATCTGTTATTTGATTAATAGGATTATTTAAGGGATAAGCTCAATGTCTCCCAAATGTTTTGTCTGCTGAACCTTTTTAATATGAAGAATCTCCGCGTTCTGTTGAAAAAATGAGTCCAAGGACAGCTTCTCTTAAGGTCTCCAAGGTGAGCATTCTCCATGGATTATGTACACATAATTAGGCAGATATTCTGGGTAGCACAGACTTGTAGAAGAATGGCAGGAAACCCAGACTTCACTGTATCTAGACCTTTTTATTATGTCTGTCTGTCTGTCTTCTCTCCCTAAACTTGTAAAAGGTTGATGAAAGCTGGCTTGTGACTTAATATGCTTTTTCTCATTTAGGAAGAAGCAGTTTCCAAAAGCAGAAGGAAGCAGGGCCAACACCTCGGACTTGCTCATCATTCAAATACGCCGAAGACACCATGGCAGGCCACCCACTTCCAGGCTGGGGCGGTGAGGATGCTGCTGCTGAGACCCAGGTAAGGGGGCAGCTGAGGGAAGGGTGCCTTCCACCATGTGAAAATTGAACTCCTTAAGCACTTTAGTGATAGATGTAATTTTAGATCAAATTTGCAGTTAGCTTATTGAGCATGAACCAAGATCCAAGGCTCAGCCATTTCCCTGAACACCATGGGTTCTTGGTACACCTTTATTCTGAATAATTCAAGGTGGCATCTGATGTGCACCCAGATTCTTGAGATATGCATGCTCACCCCTGGTCTGACATTGGGAAATAAGCATTCACTCTCCTGAGCTACCGGGGCATCATTATCTTGGTAGTTACTTTGACCTTCACCTTGCTTCTATAAAAGGGGGAAAGCAGATATAATTGTGTTCCTTTTGAGGATTTAAAAAAAAAAATCTTGGAGTGGTCAAATAACTTGGCAGTGTCGGCGAGACCTGTGTTTCTCCAGTGCCCGTCATTTTTGACATATCTTCTTCATTCACCAGAGGTGGGAGATCCAGGCCTCCAAATCTGTGATTGGACCCAGGGGCACTCACAGCCCTGGGAGTCTTCATTCTTCCCATAGGGGTTGCTTGGTATTCTCTCCTGTTCACCCTTCCAAATGGTTACTTTGACCAGGTCCAGCCTGTTCACTGTATCTCAGCTGTGGCTGGCCCACCACAGAGTCCTTAGTAGTGCCTGGCAGTGAGAAGGGTGGAGAAAGAACTTATGGATCAATTACCAGAGCTTCCCAGCCCTTCTTTGACCTTCCCACTTCTGCTGCCTTTGGTTCTCCCAATGAAGAGAATACTCCAGCATCAAGAGAATCCTGCTCTATTGTTGCTGGAGTTTCTGCCCAACTATGATAAGGAACTGCCAAGATTTGCCCACATCTGAGATCTCCCACACCCAGGGTAGCTGAGCCTTCCTTTAGTCTGGAGCACCTTGGTATGCGAATAAGAGATGGACAAGTAGCGGGAGGAGATTTTCTAGACTCACTTAAGTGACTCACTGTAAGCCTCAACTTACAGCGGAGATCACCAACTCCAGAGACATGCTGGACAGGCTTGGGGTCCAAGGGAAAGTCAGTGTGGACTAGAGGCTGGCACTGGGCCCTATGGGTTTCTTGTCTAGGTATCAGAATGGCTGATTGCATAGGAATGGGCTGTAAGAGGCAAAAGTAAAGCTGTTGTATTCAAGTATGCCTGAGGTTAAACACAAAACTGCTGGGGCTCCTAAAGTTGACCTGCCTTTGGGTGGTGGAAGAAAGGGCTCCTGGCTGATCAGAATCACCTGGAGGGCTGCAAGTCCCGCTGCCCCCACCTGTGCCCAGCATCTGATTTGATAGGTGTGAAGTGAGGCCCAGACATTTCTCACACATTTACCAGGTTCTGCTTCTGCTGTTGCCGGTCCACAGAACGCACTTCGCAAAGCATTGCTATCACTGTGGTCACAAAGGACTCTGTGCTTGCTTTGGGGACGGGAAAATTGAGAATAGCATAAAAGATACTTAGAGTTGGAGGGGGAGACCAGTCCAGAGCCAACAATTTGATCGCAATGGCAAAGGGGTTTGAGTAATTCCAAGAAAGTAAAAATGAAGTTACTGAGTGCAGGATCAGAGGGGGCCTCTGCCCTCTATATGTCATGGCCAGGCACTGTTCACACAGTGTGCACATCTCAGAGTCCCCTTCCCCTTGTCCTGCATTTGCTTTGCCCACTGGCAAATCCTGACTTGACTTATAAGACTCACCACTCTTGTTTGGAGGGAACTTAGAACCCTGCTTCCCTGACTGCCAGGTAGGGAAAGTTAGAATCAAGATTTGGCTTTATATACCTAGTACCCAGCTCAGTGCCTGGTTCAGTTAGTGTTTGTTGAATGAAGGAATGAAGGAATGTCTCCTCTGATCCAGAAAATATTCCGGGAGTCCTTTCGGAACTCTAGATACAGGGTCCCCTGGGAACCATAGTTTGTCATCATTCATGGACATCATACTGTCAGATGACCAATATGTCTGTTGAATGAGAGGATAAATGAGTAAATGAATGAAGGAATACAAGAAATAAATGAATGCTTGAATTTATAACCCCAGCTGAGAGAACTTACATCCCAAAATGTACTATTGTAGTTCCTAACCAAGTGATATCCTCTCAAACAAACTTTAGGGACCCATTCCATGAATCTGTATCTGAACTGTCTCCAGAAGAGGTGAGAAATGATAGGCTCTAATGAAGCAGTCTACAAACAAAAGAGGGTCGCTAATAACCATGACTCAACCCACAGCAATTGCAATACTGGATCCAGCATTCCACTTGTGTGCATAGAGAAAAAAAGAAAAAAAAAACTATTCCTACAGTATCAACCACTCCAGCAACTGCCGAACACAGTATCATTGCCACACCAGTGACA